TTGTCGTATGTAGACGAGGAACCGTAGGTGTATCGAGTGAAACTGTCAGACCACACTAACTTTAAAATCCTGTATCCGTGGATGGGTAGCGGGTCACTTTAACAACTACATATTTTAGCACCAACCACTACCCCATCTCCCCTCTCACCCAGCTCTTACTATAATGCTTTCACGGCAATTGTTTATAAAATGTTTTAACAATTATACGGCACTATGACTTTCGTAAAAGTAAAACAAGTGTTTATGTTCCCAAACCAAAGACTAAAACAAGAAAAGAAGTACCCGTATTTCATATCATGGAAATTTTAAATGGAACAAATTAAGTCCGGATGTAGCCTACAGTCTTCAACAAATTTATTTCAAAAACAACATTATAACAATTAATTAAACTACGGTATATAATTAATTAACATTATGTATAAATCACAGATTTATTGACTTTTTATTTGTTTTATTTATTTTTATGTAATACTATATGTAAAATTTCAGTGTAATTTTATATTTGCATGGGTTTTTTTTTTTTGTTTTTTTTTTGTTGCAAACTTTGTATGTGTAATGATTATGTTATATTTTCGTTTAATTTCCGATGTGTAACTGTTGATTTTACAATGTAATGTGCTATACAATTAACGCAATGTTAAGATTTTCTCACGGATGATCCAAATAAGCATGTATCCTATTGAATTGTACGCAAACGCACGCCAACACAGACATACACACACCTACATAAAAAATAACCATTGAAGCCAAAAAAAAAAGAAAAAAAAATTAGTACACTGATGAAATTGTGTCCATTGCGAATATTCAAAAGCTGGTATCACGCGTTGCGATTTTTTTTTCTACATGCAGCGCTACGACTTGCTCAGTTTAATTCGTCTGGTGCACGGGAATTACTAGATAGATACAAAAGTTGGAATATATTAATTATAAAAATATATATTAATTATATAAAACAGTAACAACACAAATTACAACAAAATGCGCTGTAAAAAAGGTAAGGAAGTATTTGAACACGCCACCTAAATTTGTCCCACTTTTGATGACACATTATGCTAAATGCGTTTAGGCATATGCCCTATTTTATAGTGCAGGTATCTCTTAGCTTTAGTATCTAAGTATGAGTATTTAATATGGTGTCAAATAGACAGTTATTGCTAAACATGTCTGGAATCTGAAAAACATTAGCCCGGCTTGCCTAAATACCGTACTTTTGAGTTGAGGAATATTTCCTCTTCAAGTTCAATTTATTGTCATATACAATACCAATTCTACCAATGAGCTGGTCATTTCATAACTTAGTGCGTCAATTCATACAAACATTTCCTTAATTTTAAACATTTTGTGTAAGACTCTTATTTAATTGTTAAGTTGGTAAAAAAAATAAAATTGTTACCAGATCAACTACAGATGTAATTTTCTTCAAACCTGTCTTGATGTTTGTTCATATTTTCTCCTCAGAAAACAACATTAATTAAAAACGAATAATGCTCTATATCTCTAATCATTGTAATTTTGGCAGCCATTTTGGATTTTGGAAAACCAGGGAAGTCCCCAAGCAAATTTCAAATAGCATGTGGTCAGGATGATGAAACCGCTGAGAAAACCTTGATAATGATAATTATTATTAATAAGTAGCATGGCCGGCGGAAGCGGGGGGGGGGGGAGGGGGGGGGGGGCGAAAAATATATAATGTCTGGAGATTTTTTGTATGATCGGAAATGCAAAAAAATGAAGGAGGGAAGAAGGAGGAGAAGGATGGGAAAGAGACCAGTACCCGACCGAGTAACATTTTCTCGCAATTCACATTGGCGGATCTGGGGGAGGGGGGTCATGGGTCCTGACCCCTCCCTTGGGCAACAAAAAAAGAATTCTAGACCTACATTTTCAGGACCCGACTGATTTTCTTTTTTTTGGTGCTATTAGAAAATTAGAATTTTGAAGAACATAAAATTCATTAAAACACACATCAAATGTCTGGAAAGCTCAATTCTCGCCATCTAGGAATCAACATTTTCCTGGGGGAGAACCCCCGGACCACCCTTTCTTTTTGGGATTTATCGATTCATGGAAAAAAGAATACGCATGCAACTACTCATTTGTTTATGTATGTATATACACATAAAATAAAAAATGAGAACAATTTACCTGACATTTTAAGAGGGGAAAACCTTGAATTTTGAAGAACCCGGACCCCTTTTATCTTTGGAGTTCATTGATTAATTGAATCATTTTCAATGGGGGGACCTTGAATTTTGAAGAATTTAAAAGTCATTAAAAGACACCACAGAAGTCGGGAAAGCTCATTTCCCGCCACCTAGGAATCAAAATTTTCCCGGGGGAGGAAGAACCACAGGACCTCCCCCACCCCCTTTCTTTTGGGATTTATCGATTCATAGAAAAACTACGGTACGTATGCAACGTACTTAATCTTTTTTTATGTATGTATACACACATAAGGCCTATTTACTGAAATAACAATAGGGAAAAATTATCTGA